ATAATTCTAGCTAGAAAGTGGGTATCAACAACAGTATGAATAGCTTGAGTTATTGCTAATTGTTTAGAGTTGTTAGGTATAGTATATTGTAGTTTTCTAGAGCTATTTGATAATAAAGAGCAAGATATTTGTAAAAATAGACTCTACAACAGTTTGGACTTGTGGTGATATTGTTTTGTTTACAGACTGCTTCTTCAGCTGTTTTTGCTAAGTCTTCAAGTAGTTTAGTAAGTATAGATATTTTGAGGGTAGCTTCATAAGTTCCATTAATATGAAAGATAGATGGATTAAGAGTAGATTCTTGAAGTATTTCTGAATCTTTTTTTGGGTATATTGTATAAGATTTATCAAGTATATCTTTGTATAGTTGGTCTCTTTTATAAAAGAATTTTTCTGTTAAATATTTACAATCTTTATCATTGCAAGTTAGCATATGATAATTTGTAGCTTTGGTAGCTTTGTGTTGATATTGTAGTGGTTTATGTGGTTCTTGAAATTCAAAGTTAGATAGTAAAGATTTGCATAATTGAATAATGAATTGTCAGCATATTTTGTTTTTAAGAAGAAGATAAGTTTCTTTTTTATCAGGTGGAGTATTAAATTGGCATGAGTAGGCTGAAAAGAATTTGTTGAACTATTTTTTATAAATATTTAGTGAATTTGTTAAGGGTGGAATACAGAAGGTTTGTAGAAAAAGAGTTTTGGAAATATTAAATAGAAGTTGAATATTGAATTTTGAGTCTGATTTAATTTTAAAATATGGTTTGTCTTTATCTGTGCTTGTAATAGATGATTCAATTTAGATCTAAAATCAAAGTCTTCTTCGAATTTTTTGTAGTTTATAGATTGATATTTGTTTGAGAGATAGAGATGTAGTCATACAAGGTTTAAACAGAGATGAAGTTAGTTTTGTGTTTTGTAAGGCGGAACAGTGGCAGGTAAAACAAAGATTTCTTTGTAATTAAGTTTGGTAAAAAGAACTTTAGTAAATTGTAAGATAATTGTGTAAAGTGTTGTTTCAAGATAGTCAAAAGGAATAGTTGCATTTGGACTAATATTTGGATTATATTTATGAATTAGATCTATTAAAAACTTAGAATACAAGCCAGCTATTAAATGAAGAAGATGTTTAAAGGAAGCTTTATAAGTTGGTTGGTTTTCTTTTTCTGGTTTAATTTCTCTTCTAGAAAAGAAGTTGTAAAGATGATTTTTAAAAAATTCAAAAAGATGGTGAGAAAATTTGGGTTGAAGTTTTTTGTTTGGTTCCATTTTTTGGGTAATTGGAAAGTTAAGTAGCCAATTATATAATGGATTTGGTTTAGATTTAGGTTTAGATTCAATTGGTTGTTTTGAGTTAGGTTCAGAGATATTAGATAAGTTTTGTATATCTTTGATAGCTTTTTGTTTTTAGATGTAGTTGGAGGTAAATTAGTACTTTTAGAAGAATTAGTTTAAGTTAAATTTGATAATTGAGTAGAGCTAGTGTTAGCAAAAAATTGATTAACAAGAGAAGGCTTTAGAGAAGAAAGTGGATAATCAACTTCTATATCAGTATTAGATTGTGGTTCTTGGGTTGAAGTAAGTGAAAAAAGATTGTTAAGAGGGTTTGGTTTGTTATTTTTAACTTGTAATTGAGGTTTTTGAGTCTGATTAGATTTTTGGAAATTATCTACCAAGCTAGATATAAAAGGTGGTTTGGTTTGTAATTTAAACAAGAAAGAGGTTTTAGTTTTTAGATAAGTTACTGGTTTATTTTGTTGTTGTTGTTGTTGTTGTTGTTGTTGTTATTGTTGTTGTTGTTGTTGTTGTTGTTGTTGTTGATATTGTTGTGAGTATTTAGATTTGGATTGATATAGTTGTTGTTGTAAGTTTTGAGATGTAATAGTAGAAGTTGTAGAAGTAGTTTGGGTAGTAGTTTGATTGATATTTTGTTTAATAGATGTAGATCTTGATAGTTGTTCCATATGTTGTCTTATAACTTCATCAGGTAGTGCAGAGATAAAAGAGACTGAGGAAGAGGTAGAAGTAGCACAGGTAGAGTAGTAGTAGTTTTTGCCTTGTCTAATTGTATCACTTTGAGGTGAGTGCTGATCATTAATTGATTTGCAGTTAATTAGTTGATTACATGTTGGGCATATATGAGTATGAGAATATGGAGTAGGAGTAGTTGGTATTTCATTAGGAGGTTTTTGTTAAGGGATTGGAGATTTTGGAATAGTTTGGGTTGTATTATTGAGTTGTTGGATAAGTTTTTTGGTTTGGTGACTTAATATAGTTGGGTCTATATTGTGTTTAAAATCATAGATTTGGTTATCTTGAGCTATAAATTTGGTATGATATCTTTTACAAATACAGGTAATTATAGCAGTTGAGAGTAGAGCAGGAAAAAAATATGTAACTCTTTGAGCAGTATGAAGCTCTTTGTGGAAACAAGCAGTTGGTCAAAAATTTTTTGGAATTGGTAAAACATTTCCTGGGTTATCTTTATAGATTGTTACACTATATATCTAGTTTCACAATGGTATAATTTTTGTTTCATGTAACATTACGCTATAGAAACTTCTAGATACTGCAGCTTGTATAACTGTGGCTTGTATCATCATGGCTGGTGTGGCTAGTATGGCACAATTTGTATCACGTAACTGTAATTTAATAGGTGCAAACTATAAAGCTTGTGTTAGTTAAATATTTACTATTTTGTAAATATTAAATTTTAATTAAAAATTAAAATAGAATTGGTGTAATTAGTGGAAAACCACTAATTTTGAGTAGTTAAAAACGTGGGTAATATGGTCTAAAAATAGTTAGTATTGCACAAAAAACGCCTATAGAGTTTTTGCAAAAAGGAACTTTAGAAAAAAAAGAAAAAACCTTAAGAGAGTTTAGAAGGTTTTTTGAGTATATTTTCGTTAGTTTTAGGTCTACAAGCCTGAAATTTAGCTTGTTATAATGGGAATTGTGGGTTCTTTAAGTTTTTCTAAACTTGGAAGATATGTTTAGATAGCCATTTTAGAGTTATTAAGAAATATGTGAGAAAATAGGCCTTCTCAATAAGTTTAGAAGCTTTAAATTTAATATTCAAATATTATATATATTTTTTTGTTAGGAATAAGTTTATTTAAGAGCAAAACTAAAGATTAACTTAGTAAAAAATAAAGTTATAAAGTGTTTTAAAATAATTAAGTTGGGAGAAGTTTGTATACAAGTGATAGACAGAGAGAGTTCCAATAATAAAGTTAATACAGTATTAATAATAATTATAAAAAATTGATACAAGATTCTGAAACAAAGCATTTGACTAAGAAGGCTTCTAGAAATTAGCTGATTTGGGGGTGGGTGGGTCAGCTGGAGTGTCAGTTGTAATTTCGGCCAGAATTATCAAGTTCTGGCCAAAATTAAAAAAAAACTTTTTAGCTCAAATTATAAATTTGATATTAAACTTCAATAATAAATAATTTTTGTTCTACTGTCCTAATTTTGATAATTTAACAACAAAATGATTTCTATAGAGTGGAAATACCAACAAGCCCAAAATTATCAAAATCCAATCATAGAATCTAGAAATCAGAATAGATTTGTATATTATTATATATACTATACTATATAGCAATATATATAGTATTTATAGTATAATAGTATACAAATCTAAATTGATCTCAAGATCTAGTGATTGGAGTTTTATAATTTTAAACTTGTTAGAATCCTCTCTTTGAGCAGATCATTTTGGTAGTTAAATCATCTAAATTGGTCTAGTAAATTAAAAGATATTTACTATTAAATATTTAATATTTAATAGTAAGAAAATATCTAGTAATTACTGCAGGTGATTATCACCTTATTTATATTTACTATATATATAGATATAATATATATATAATATATATTATGCGGTATGACAGATGATTATCACCTTATTTACATTAATAATAATATATATATAATATATATTATGCGGTATGACGGTGTGGAGGTAGAAACCAGACTCTCGGAAATTAATTGATGCAAAGTACGTATATAATATGTATTCACATTGTTTACCCAACTAATAAACAAATAGAGATAATCAGACAGCAATTAATTTTCTTTTCGCTTGCACTTTCGTTTACCAAGAATAGTCACGTTTTTCTCATAGAAAGCATAACATATAAGTGTTCGGCCTGTAGATTATGGAAAATCATACCTTTGGATCATTTCACAGTATGACAACGTCATTTAACTCTGCAAAGTTAGTTAGAAGGATTGGTAGTACTATAAAATTATTTTCTAACAAGTTCGCTCTGTTAATGGTTACCAAGTGACCTTGTTATAGAACATAGAAATGATCTTATATAGAATCAAGGGTTTGGAAGGTTAGTTCTATGATAGTTAATAAATTAGCGTTTGATCAGAACTATAAAAATGATTGTGTTAACATTTTATTTGTAACCTAGTTTCGAAAGTGAACCGAGCGATTTGTTATTTGATACATATGAATATCAATCGAATTATAATTATCAAACCTTTAATTTGGATAATGGAACAATGTATATTATATCTGCTTATATAGTATCTGAGTATTCTGTGAATAATGCTAATGTTGCTTTTTTTTTATGTAGTTCACACGACGCTCATGAATCAAACAATGTGTTAGTAGAGACTTATGGCCATCAAATTGTCAGTTCAAGTTATAATAGTCAAACTTTTAATTGGGAGACTAAAAAAAGGTATGTGGTATTTGCTTGTAGCAGAGTGTTTTTGTGAATTATATTAAGTTCGCTTTTATGTAGTTCGCAAGATGCTTGTGATCTTGCGTCGAATTAGGGCTTTGAAAGGTTAGCCTCACATTAGTTTGCTAAATATTAGTGTTTGATTAGGTTTATAATTAACGATTTATTGGTGGCTTTTGGCTTCTAGTCTGGAAAATGAGCCGAATGATTTGTTATTAGAGATAGACTATCAAATAGTTGATTCGAATGATAATAGTTCTACTATCAATTTGAAAAATAAAATAAGGTATATGACATTTGCTTATATCTGTGTCTATGAATAATACTGATTTACTTTATAAATATAGTTCACATAATAATGAAGAATCACGTGAAGACACCTTGCAATTATACATTGGTCGTTCGTTTAATGAATGGAAGGAAGTGGATAAATTCTTGAAATTATTTGGAAAGTGTAAAGGGTTTTCTTTTAAAAGAAACAGAAATGAATTTCACTCAGACTATTTAAGCTCTGTCATCGTAGTTACGAATGCTTATATTCACATGTGCATAAGGCTAAAAAAGTAGTTGATATAACCAAGCAGTATGAAAAGCCCTCAGCAACAATAAATTGTGAATGGCATGTTAATTTTAATAATCATAAGGGAACTAAGGAGATAATTTGTACCTCTCTTGTTAATAAACACAATCACGAAATGAATCCTTTAGTTGCTCAAACAGCGCCACGTTTTTATAAATTGTCAGAAGAGATGATTAAGGATATAAGGTTCTATACATGTTCTATGGAGAGTATAGGTGCTACTTTGCAGTATAATCTTTTGAAAGCAAAGTATCCTGACAAATATATTGACAAAAAAGATGTATACAATGCTATTCAATGATTCCAGGTGCCGTCTCGTGAAAACTTAGAAACTGATGCCGCTGAGACCCTAAAAAGGTTATTGACATTAAAAACTGAAGATTCTAATTGGATAGTTGTACCTAAAATTGAAGGCAAAGGAAATAGATTGACTGCCCTTTTTTGGATGTTGCCATTTCATGATATTGTATTGACCGATAATACCTGTAAAACCAATCGCTATGAAATGGCATTGTGTTTTTTTTTGATAATTGATAATAATACTCATTCACGTATTGTTGCGCAAGCATTATTAGAAGACAAAACGCAAGCTTCTTTCGAATAGGTTTTAGAACAGTTAATTAGTGCAACGAGTGGTATCATTCTTAAGACTATATATTCTGACGCTAACCCGGTTATGGGTGCAGCTTTGCAAAACATTTTTCCCGATACGCACCATTCTTATTGTATATTTCATATAAATAACAACTTTATTAAAAAAATAAAACCAATCATGGGTAAAAATTTTGATGAATATTATAAGCTTTTCTATCGTTCCCATAATAGCCTATTCGAAGCTGATTTCAAGCGATGTTGGGCACAATTTGTTGAGTTTATTGAGTCATTCCCTAAAGCAACATGATATGTACTTGGAACTCTTTATCTTGCATGTTATAGTTGGGCAACTTGTTATACACAAGCACGTTTCACCGCTAGCATCCAAAGTACTCAGCGTATAGAAGAAATCAATGCAATTATCAAGAAAGAGGTTTCATGTAATACAACATTGTTACATCTAGTTGATGCAATACAAAATAGGTTAAATGAAGAAGCTCGTTATGCAAGTATAAATAAGCAAAAAAATACAAACCTTACTATAGGCTTGCTTCACATTGCAGGTCGATATTTTCCAACTATAGATTCTTTGATTCAGGAGTACTTGATTTCGCATATTCTCTCTTTACAAAGATAGCAGCTTTCTGAAAGTTTTTTGTACGAAGCTACTGAACTTTCTTTTGATTGGAATAAAGATTTCTTTGAACCGAAAAAATGTCATGGAAGATGGGTATATCGAAGATGATTACGAGCGGCATCAAACGGGTCTTAGGTCACTGCTACAAACTTTAAATCATGAGGATGTTTTACAAATATGGACTATAACTCCACAAGGATCTTTTCCAAATCATTTTAGCAATCATGTTGTATTATTTGCAGACGGCACACATTTATGCACTTGTTTCACTTTGATCAGTAAAGGAATCATCTGCCATCATTTCTTTAAAGTTCTTATGAAATCACATCTTGCTAGATTTCATATTTCTCTAATATTAGGCCGGTGGTATAAAAATAGTTTGAATTATAGAGATCTTATTTCTTTGTATCCACCTATAAGACTGTGTGAAGCCAACCAACCTTCGCTATCTGATAACAATACCTATACAATTAATTTCAGGTATCTAGCTCAGCTTCATACTAGCAACATACTTACTTCAACTTTGAAAAAATCCAATAGTGAGAAGAGCTATTGGTTTAAAGGCTACGGAATATCCAAGAAAGCGTTGAATCTAATGATACGTCTTAACTGCGACAATGAGTTTCTTCAAGTTTATTTCTTCAAAAACACGTAAGTTGAAACTTTTAGAAAACAGGAAGGAAAATGAAAAGGAAAATGATAAAGAAAATGATAAAGAAAATGGCGAAAATGTAATTGAATCACAACAATATGTAGTTGCGAATCCATATGTAACTAAATGCTGTGGTAGACCACCTAAACGTTTCAAAGATATACTTGAAAATATTACCAATACTTGTTAAACGGTAGTTCATAATAAGCAACGTGAAAGAAAAAGGAATAAATATAATAATTGTGGGGATTATGGTCATAATGTTAGAACCTGTTCAGTATAATTGATCATATAAATGTAGCCAATGCAGAACATGTTGTTTGCTTAAATTGTAAAGATATGTTCGTCATGATTAAAATTGATATGCACTAAATTCACAAGTCTGGGTTCAATAATTAAATTTGAGTCAGTTAATTATGTATCATTTTAATTTTAAAAGCTATTGTTACTATTGAAAATGAGAGCCACACCCAATAGTTAACTTTATCGATAGTTAGAAAGGCTTGTTTACATGATATGTCGAATTAAGTAAATAATTTGTATTCGTATAGCGAGGAGTATATTTAAGTCAGTTAATTCACAAGGCATTATTTTATAATGTCTATGCCTTATATATCTTGGTTACTAAAAGATATAACCTGAAGTTTACTATTATCATGTTCGACTAATATGTATTGTGATTTTTTCTAGTATTATCAGAGCAAAAAATAGAAGTTTATATTAAGGCTAGGATAAACGTTTATATTAGGGTTAGATGTTAGTAGTACATCGATACTGATTACAATCGATTTATGTAATAAAAGGTAAGAGTCAAATCGAAGTAGTGTTTATGTATCATTTTGTGAAAATTTTCTTGTTAGAGTGCAGAAAGTACTGTAGTATATATTAGAAGTTTTTTAATAGATGCTATATATTTTATTGGTGAGTAATCTATTAATATTTCATTGTCTAAAATCTCCAATTCTGATTACAATGGAGTCTGTAAATTTATTATATTCGAGATAATTAAGATCATCAAAAATAGCTTTTCAAGCCATTCTTTTGATATCTTTGCCGTTACTGATGATCTCGGTCAAAAAATGCAAAAATAGCTTTCTTCTGATATCTTTGCCGTTACTGATGATCTCGGTCAAAAAATGTGCTATATGTTCATACATATATCGTAAATTGCTGCATAAACCACCCCCAGGTATGTTACTTAAATCTGTATAAAATTGATTCAGATCCGGGATCTGTATAGAGGTCTACTATAAGAGGATTTGTTGCGCAATAAAAAAAATTATTGTCAGGGGTATAATACCTGATACATGATTAGTACATGACCCTGGGTTATTATTATACACTGTTTTGACGATCATTATATAAATTATATGTTGTGTAATAAATAATAAATCATATGATGTTATATATATATATATATAGTATATATGTATATATTATTATAAGTAATTATAACCTGCAGTGCAAATTAGTAATTTCCTACTATGTTTAATAAATTTTATTCTTAATAAAATATATAATCTTTATTATAGTATGCGTTTATAAGTTGTTTTTAATACAAGAATTTTTTATCGGTCTACTAACTTGCACATAGATAGCTTCTTCACGATATACTAGATTATATACTGAAACTATTGCACTATTTATTTTTACTGATATACTAAACTGATAACTCAATAAAGTAAATAATTTTAAATATTAAAATGATTTTTATTTTATTTTATTTAAAATATCGTATTACAAATTAAATTTTTTACATTCAGATATTTCATAATACAAAAAATTTTTAACTTTTTTTTTATTAATTTAATAAACTTTTTATGCTAAATAAAATTTACAAACAGTGAAGTTAATAAAAGTTTGAGATACTTAGTTTCAGAGATTGTCACTCTTACTTGTTCCAACCACTGCGAAGAGGTGTATCTTATTGGTTGGGAAGATAATAACAGAGGTGTAAGCGTTGAGCTATACCCAATTATTTTTTGGGTGTGGTTTTATTTTTTTTTAAATGCTGCCTAGCACCTGTACATACCCAACCATATTCTCTCCTATACCTCCCATACAGGAGTAGGTTGTTCTTTACCAAAGCTTTTGCTTAGTTCGCTAACAAAAACCTCTCAGCCCAGGTTTTTTAACTACCTAACTGGCTTCTCATATAGAACCAGTATATCTCGACAGGGGAAGTAAAAAAGCTAGACATCATGAAGCGAAGAAGTAGCGTGAAGAAAAAAAATAAAATGTGTAAACAATGCCAAATTTAAATTGTTTTGACTATCACATTACACTACTGAAGATTTTCAACAATTTATATTTCATGTGATCGTACTGACGATATCGATACTACTGTTAATTAAGAAATGTCAGGATCACATGGTCGTGACTTTTTTATGCCATCACTTTTCTACCTCCAAAAATAATACAGATTTAGGTATTACTCACTAACCTTACTGTTCTTGAATAAGATCCAGGAATATAATGATTTACTAATTTTAATATAATATATCCCAAATACAATGCCTGGTTCTTCATAATATACACAGGTAAAATGAGGTTTAATAGAGAACCTCCCTATTGCTGCCTATTTTTGGTACCAAAGAAAATCAATAGGGTATTAGTACTCAATAGAGTATCAATTAGAGCTTCGATCCTATTTCTTCAGGACTATTTGGATTAAATCTGGATTCTCTTTTATTGATTAGTCGCGAATTTTTAAAAAAAAGTTCAGTTCATATAGAGAACAACAAATTGGACTAATAATTTTTATTAAAAAAAAAAATAAATTTTTTTTTAAATTACCTGTAAGGTGGTCACATCACAAAAATCGGTCTATAGTGATGTGTAATATAGTCGTTCATCCATAACGTCCAAACAAAATCATAACAGTATATCATATATTGATCTAGCATCTAATCCTCAATCCAAAATATATTATGGATCTATCCGTTTAAAATTGACGGATAAGAATATTCACACTTTATCTGAATTATCAGATCAATCCGAATTAGTCAGATTGCGGATCGAAGCACTAGTAGAGATATAATCAGCTGATAAATATCAATTTTCTTATTTTTGCAATAATTCTGTAAAAATTTAACAATCATTTATGCACAATAGTTGGCATATCATTATCAATATAAAGTTAGAAAGTATACATTTCATGCTAATACATTTGGTCAATTAAAACAAAATGCTACTAAGCAAAAATAGAAAGGTTCATTAGGGGGCTTTCAGAATTAGCTAATTTATTTTTATTAATAGATTGCCTGAGGCCAGACCCACCCACCCACACCTGACATCCTATTAGCCAATCAAATTTTATATTCATTTTAAATTTTATATAATACAGTAATATATATATAAACTTTAATAATAAATAATTTTTGTTCTATTGGTCCAATTTTGATAATTTAACTACCAAAATAATCTTCACAGAGTGGGAATTTCAAAAAGCCCAAAATCATCAAAATCCAATTACAGGATCCAGAGATTAGAATAGATTTGTATATTATTATACAGTATATACTACTATATACTATATAGTAATTTATAGACACTGTTCAATAAAAAGAGAAGAGATCTACTTTTTGAAAAAAAATTTTATTAGCTTATTAAATAAAGTATAACTAGATTTATAATTCTAATTAAAAGTTAAATTATACTGGTTTAATAATTTTTTGAATTTTATATATAATTTTTATTATCTAGTATTATATATGAACCCAATTTTTTAAATAGTAAAAAATTAAAAATTACATGTATTACATATTTGTTTACATCACATGGCTTATATAAATAGTATTTTAAAAAATTAATCTATATTGTTTGTCACTAGGTAATTGTTGTAATCTACAAAAATGTGATTTTCTTAAAATTTTTGATCAAATCTAAAATAAAGATTTCACCCTTTTCTACTAAACAGTGCCTATACAATTTAAGTATATATAGCACAGTATAATAGTATACAAATCTAGATTGATCTCAGGATATAATAATTAGATTTTATGATTTTAGGCTTGTTAGAATTCTCTCTTTGAAAGGATTATTTTGGTAGTCAAATCACCTAAATTGGTTTAGTAAATTAAAAATTATTTACTATTAGGAAATTACTAATTTGTATCGCAAGTGATAATCACCTATAATAATATATATATATATGGGGTTTGTGCCTTGAAAATGATCCTACGGGCATTAGAAATTTTTTTAAGTAAACAATGATTAAGGGTTGTATAACCAAAACAACCCAAATTTGATTTGTCGCTAATTTTAGATATGCTGATCGTCGATCTTTGCAGATTTTAGGAATACTTTAAGGCCGGGGTATAGATCAACCAATCAAAATTATGAATTTCGATTAGAAAAAATAATTTTACTTAAATCTTTTTAGATATTTTTTAGATCAAGGTAGTTGTTTTTATAATATATAAAATTTAAGTAACTACCAAACGCCATATCATAGATATTTGCTTATTAAAAATTAATTAAAAAGAAAACTATCTATACAATAAAAACACGACCAAAAACTTACTGAATTAAAGATTGTTCATAGTGTAGGGCAAACAGATTTAGACAGGATTAAAGCTTTGCAGCAGAGAATGATGCCCAGGCTAGTAATTTTCTGATTTCCGTTTACATAATTTTATTAACAGAGGCCTCATATCTGTTTGATACTGATTTATACCGATATAGAGCTTTTTTATTTTCTTTCTGGAGGTCCTCATACTATAATTATGCTCAACTGTTTTAGAAAAAAATATAGAAAAGATTACTTAGTAATATTCACCAGTTCGAAATAATATTTAGCCCTCTAACTGAATTTTGCAAAATCTTAATCTTTCACTTAATCTTTTTCTTTTTATTAGTTTTAGGACTTTAATTATACATTTTTCGTTGTCTATTATATTAACTCCTTCAAACGCCTCAGAACGATTTTTACGTCACTTAACGATCTATTCACGATTTATGTATCAATCGTTAAGTAACTTAATGAACAGATCATTAAGTGACTTAACAATTGATACAGGAATCGTGAACAGATTATTAAGTGACTTAACAATTGATATATACAGTACTGGTCAAAGTAAGTTACCCAGTTTCAATTATACAAAACTTAAATAAACAGCAATAATTTTTTTTTATTTTAAAGTATTGAGTAAACGCTAATATTTAATACATAGTATAATCTCCATTTGATTCAATTAATGCCAAAACCCGATCATTCATACTTTTAACCAAATTTATAGCAAGCGCTTTGGGAAGTTGAAACACTCTTTTGCTATTTCCTGCCTCAATCCTCGAACTGACCTAATTTTTTTTTTTGTATTTTAATTTTTAGAAGTCGCTATATGTTCTCTATTAGATTTTGATCTGGTGAATATGCTGGCCATGAGAGTACTTTAATATGGTTTTCCTTCTTCCATTTTTTCGCTACTATTGAACGATATTTTGGATCATTGTCCTCTTGAAGGTACCAATCATCATTTTCTTCGCCAAAAAGCTTATACACAGAAGGCAAAAGGCCCTTCTTATATATTTCACACATAAAATCACTATTGAGATTCTTAGTAAAGGTTATTAGTTTGCCAAACCCTGAGGTTGAAAAACAACCCCAGACATGAACCTTCTGTGGATGCTTTACTGTTCGGAATACTTTTCGTTTTCCAATTAACTACCAAGTTTTTTTTTTGATAATAGTTTAAAAATACTCTCATCTGTAAAAATTACTTTATCCTACTTATATTTTTGATGCTTTATTGCCCAATCTAAATGTTTTGTTCTCTGTTTTTCGTCAAGGAGTGGTTTAACTATTCCATTCTCCAGCGTCAACAAGGCAGTGCTTAATGGTGCTCTCGCTAATATTAATGCCTTGTTCTTCAAGTTTTTTTTTTATTGTAACACTAGTTACATAAGGTTGCCTTTCTAATATCCGTTCAATCTTCCTGTTTTGAACTAATGGGGCCGACCAGACTTTGGTTGGTTGGTTAGTTAAATTTTTATTTAAGTAATTTTATAATAGCAGGCTTACTATAGTCAATATAGGTGGCCGTTTTACCAAGACCAAGCTTTGTTCCTAGGGGATGTTCACGATTTCATATTGTTGATAGAGTGAAAGTGGCACTTTTAGAGGTGAAAAGTTACATATAATTTTCCCACGAGAAGTTTTATCAATGTATAAAAGTATTACTAATCATGCATTGTGTAACTCTTTAATTTAAAAAAATTTGTAAGCCGGTTTATTATATAATTTCGTAAATCGCTATTTTAATAAACTTCCTTGAACACTTTAAAATAAAAAAAATTAATATTAGGGCTGTGAACAAAGTGCATCTTTATATGGATCATCAACGTGTTGACGAATTTTTGTATATAAATATTTTTTGCGGTCATTTGATAATAGTATGGTGGAAAGAGTATTTAAGTTACTATTTTTATCAAATTTGATATTATGTAATAATTGAAAAGAAGTTTATTCTCCACCCAATTTTTTTGAAGCATAAACTTTTCCGATTTCTGAGCTATTAAACCGAAAATGTTGATATTGTTTTATATTTGGTAAAAATGTAAAGTTATTTTTAAAAAAAGAACTAAAATCGTACCAAACTCATCCTTTATCATTTTTATATTGTATTGCATCATTTCCCTTTGACGAATTGTTCACAATATTTTCAACATCATCAATAATATTCATATGATTATCTCTATAAACTTTTTTAATTTGTCTAAAAAATGAGTCACAAATAAATTTCGTGTAACCAGAAAGTATAAAATTAACAACAATTTCCTCATACCAATTTAATGAACATAACCAAGACCAAAACCAAAGCGATAGATTATTTTTATTTTGGCCACTACAATTATCACAAGTAATATGTAATTTTTTTTTTTAGGATTTTTTTTTTGAAAAAAATAATAAACTATATTTAGTGTAGTGTTAGCATCTTTTGAAACTCCTTCGGGAAATTCATTTTCACCAACTAAAAAATTTAACTGATAATTTTGCTCGCCAGTTTTACAAACACTAATATGTATGAAAAAGGAGAATTTAAAATAAAGCGAACCTACTTGTTGTAGCGAATATGGTATGGAAACATTTTGCGCCCAATTATAACAAATATGCACAATATCTAAATTATTTTTACTTTCTTCAATGTTATTATTATAATGTTGTCTTTCAAGATCCACAGCTTCCTTATGTTTATTAAACTCGACTTGAACTTTATTATATTCGTCGATATCTTTTTTTGTAGCTAATAAGTTGGCTTTAAATAAAGTGCAAATTTCACAAAGATCGCTTGCAGGTGGTTGAAATCGAAGATTTGGAA